GCTGCCCTGGATTGGGCTCCGGGTTCGGGTAGGCCATGGAGGACCGCAGAGGCTGGGCTCCCTGCGCCCTGTCAGCCACCTCTCGCGGATGTGGTTTGGTGACGACATCGCCGTGGGGGGGGCGGGTGAGAGAGGAGGAGGAGTGGGGGGGTTGACGGTTCTTGACTTCCCCTCCTCCTCAGAGAAAAACAGCAGCCGTATAAAAGCTGCAAGACGCGCGGCGGGCGCCAGCGCCGGGCTGAGCCGCGGAGGGCCAGAGAGAGAGACACAGAGACGCGGCGACATGGCGGAAAACAAGACGGGCGGCGCAGCGGGCATCTTCGCCAAGCGGGTCCAGAAGCAGCTGAGCCGGGCGCAGGAGAAGGTAGGCATGGCCGCGGGCAGGGCGATGCCCCTTGCCCTCTCCCGAACCAGGAGCATCCAGGGTAGGGCGAAAGAGCAGGGTAGGGTCAGGTTAGGACTTGATGGAAGCGCAGGGAGGCTGGGGGTTGCCTTGCGTCTGCTTGACGTGCCACCAGGACTTCTCAACAGAAAGCAACGGTTTGAACAGAATTGGAGAGGGCTGCGTCTTGCACAGAGGTGCAAAACTCCAGCCCAGGACGGCCGGGTGGTCTCTGTTTCTTTCTCCCCTGAGCCCTTCAATACCTAATTGCGCTCCTGTTTTTATCTGGACGGGACAAGCTGAAGCCTTTCCTTGCTCCTCAGATGCTGGGGAGTTAAAGAGACCCATAAACCCCGCTGGACAGCCCGAGTTGGCCTCCCCGGCTGTACTGCTTGTTCCTGCTCTGAGCAGCCCAGGAGCACTTTTCTGAATGCGTTATACAGCATGATAGCGATCTCCTTGAGGGTGCCTCAGAAGAGACAATGATATCTAGGGGGAGACTGACAGACCACCCATAGATTGTGGCTGGGAGCTGAGGGTGCTGGGTGGGCTGTACTGTACTTCTCTAGCTGACTTGTGCCCGAAGAACTGAAGGGGTTCCTTAAGATATCATGGCAGCCACTGTGTAGCCCAGTGGGTCCCAACCCCTGGTGCCGGATGGACCCTGTTCCATCTGAGCTCTACTGTACTTCTCTGGCAGTCCTTGATGGCTTAAGTAAACTGCTTGCTGGTGTAGACTTTTATTTAACTTGTTGGTCTGTCCCAAGCGTCAAAAATACCCAACTTCAAGGACACTGTTGCCAACATCATCAGCCCAGAAGTGTACACAGCTTCTTCTCCTTGCTGCCTGATATTTATCTGCCTGCTGCTGGTATTTCTGAGTAAACAGCTCCTACTAGTCGATCAGCTGATGAAAAACAGACACAGGTGGGAGTGACCCTGTGTCAGACACACCCACAGCTTTGTCCTGCTGCAGAGTTTCAGCTGGTCCCATTTCAGGCAGCACACCTGAATGAAAGCAGATCTGAACTCAGAAACTGGCACGGGGTTCATAGCAATCACAACGACCAATTACAGGATGTGGGCTTTACGAAGAGATACTGCACAAGCATAGATCACAGCTGATATAGCCGAGCTATCACTCTGCTGAGCGTCTGTGCATTGAAGATTCAGCCTCAGGTCCACAGTATTTTATTGTGTATTTTAACATCGTGTATTTAGGTCACAGTTACAGCTTTCTTATACTAAAATGAGCAGAACCCCCTCCTGAAACGGTGACCCCAGTTTCCTTCAGACCTTGGGCTGTGCTATTACAGTATATCCTGCCTTGTTTGTGTCTCCTCTTTTCTGTGCTTGGTGCTGTGGCACAGTTCCAGTATCTTTAAGAAATCTGCCCTTTCATTGCAAGTTAGTTTCTCTTTGCTTTAGAAGCATGTGAGAACAGAACAGGAAATGCTTAACACTTCCAAAGTGGCCTTCTTCTTGAGAAACCTTCTGTGACCTTTTGCATGTGCTGTGAAAAAGAGCCTCTTTATTTGCTAAAATGTGTGCTTTGGGGCTTCAGAAAAACTGCCTGGATGTTCCTGTAACTATGAAGAGACTAGGGTGGATCTAATGTCCTCAGTCTTTTGCAATACTGTAATTTCACCATGGTGAATGTTACTGAGCCCTGTACTGGTGTATGCTTTTACACATTAGTGAAATGCTCGTGATCTACTGCAGTGAGGCAGATTGGCAGAACCATATCCCAAGCAAAATGTGACACTTTGTTGTGAAAGTTACAGGAAAAAGATGCCGCTCAAAGTGTAAAATTACCCTGTGTTTTGACTGTGACAAACTGTCAGTAGGGATGTACTCAGTTGCTGTCTCCAGGCTTGCAGGGAGGCCAGCTTCATAAACATGTAAGGATGATTACAAACAGAAGGAGACCGCTGGGCCAATTTAGTTTAAGTCGTTAGTAGCTAGTTGATCCAAGGGTCTCATCCAGTCATTTAAACCTCGGCAGCAGATGTACCTTTTTGAACAACTGGACGTGTTATAGTGTTTATTCTGCACTTTGTATACAATGGGACTTGGGGATTGATTAAATGCACTGTTACACACTGTCTACTTCTAGACCTGTGAAGAAATAATTTGCTGTGCTCATTTGCTGCAGCAAATGGAGTAACACATCTAATGCAGTAACGGAGAAATTGATTAGGAAGATGAGTCAGAAGACGCCTAACCTTTTAAGAACCCAAGACGACATATTGAGAGCACAGCTATTGATTCAAGTGTCTCACCTGAATAAATACCTTTTCTGAAGGACCCCCAGTGAACCCGGGGTAGCTCGTTCCAGACCTTAGCAACGCTTTGTGTAAAGGAACACCACCTGATTTCAGTCTTCAGAAGAACTAGAACCTCTAACCCATTCTTGCTGATCTGTGCGTGCCATGCAGCTTATTTTGAAAAAGGGAAAAATAAAAAAGTCCTTATTTCCCCAAGCCCAAAAGTAACAGCTGTACGGCCTGCCGAGGCTCTTAAATTTGCATCCCAAACGAATTCTGTGACACCGTGATGGTGGTGCTAGCCCATCCAGAAAATAAAAGCAAGCTTAGGGTGGTGATTTGTGTTTTACAAACACGGCACTGTGTGTGTGGTCTACAGAGGCCCTCGGATCGTGTTGCCCGATCTTTCTGGGCAAAACGTCCTCTCCTATTGAACTGGCAAGCACAGCCAAAATAGTACAACAGCAGCAGGGTCTATTTCCTTACGAGCCCCTGCATTCTGATGTGGAGGGAAGTGGTGAGTGCTGAAAGACAATTCTGCACCTGCCTGCCTGCCTGCCTGCCCGGTCCACAGCCAGCTGCGGCTTGTAGGATGTTCCAGCCGGGCTCTGTCCTTTCGTTCTGCCAAGTCATCTACTGCGACCAGCTTGCATTGTCGCTCTCTCAGCACGGGGGCTCCCCCGTTCTGTGGAACTGCTGACTCGTCGCCACGCCTCGGCACGTCGCCCCAGCTGGACCGTTCGCGTCTGCCAGGCCAGAGGCAGCCCGGCTTCTCCCTCAGGGCCCGGCGGAGGGGCCCGGCGGCGCCCCCAGCTGCGAGGCTGTGCCACGTCATGCGACGGCGCAGAAGAAAGGCGAGAGTGTGCATTTTAAAGGCCGGCGGGAGGGACGTCCGCTGGAGCTCGTCAGGTCTGACCCGTGCTGCTGCCGAGACGGGACAGCCAACTGAAGCAAAGGCGTTTTTGTTCTGAGACGCCAGAAGTTTAAAAGCCCCCCCACCCCACCCCAAAAAAAAAACGGTGAAGATTTGAATGAAATTGCAGTAATTGCAGTAACAGTGCTTTCACCTTCATTCCAACAGGTCTAATTTGAGATTGGCATGTCTTTTCAATGGGAGAACCTCAGGGTTTATTTGCAAAGCGAAATAAAAAAGAAATGAAGAGATATAGAGCAACAGGGGATCCAGTAAGAGGCATTGTTTTGTTTTGTTTTTTTTGGGGGGGGCAGATCCCATAATCTACCAAACAATGGATTTTATTTAAACTGGCGAGAGGGGCCTTGTAGCAGAAGTGCCCCCTGTTCCCCTGCAGTGCTGTACTGTCCTCAGTCTGCCTCACACCTAAAACGACATCCTAGAAGCGACAGCCAGCAAAGTGCAGTAGAGAAGCAATTTAGAGCTACACAATGCTTCGGACCCCGTGGAAGAAGAATGTGATGGTGATGTCTCTTCCACTGTTATTTCTGCATCTGAGACAGGGCATCCAATGTTGTTTGGGTTACAGAACCCTTTGCACACACTGTGATACGGATTCTTTTCTTCATGTAAGCGTTGTGTCTTATGTTTTAGAACCCGACTAGAGTCTCTTTCTGCTGTGTGTAAGCAGGCTCAGACACGAGAAGAAACTAACAGGGGCACTTGCTGTAGGCCCTGATTCTTCTGGGTCATGGTGTCGCTCAGAAGCCCGCTTCACCGGCCTGCGGTCAGCTTCCCTTGTCCCCTTCATTAGCAAGATGAGGCCAGTCACCGAAACTGCAGGTCTCAGATTTATTTGAAGGAAATTCTGCTTCTCTGTTTCCCCTCCCCAAATGGAGTTTTTAAATGACCTGCATCCCAAGCCTAAATTTAGCCCTGATATAAATAACTCTCTCTTCCAGAATTTGTTCTCCTGTATTGCAGCTGTGTTGCAGTACAATAGTAACCGCGAAGAGTGACAGCGTTCTCTGTGGCTTCCTGTGACTGCAGACTTCCTCTGCGAATTCAGCTCTGTGGCCTCTAGAACTGTTATATTTCCAGTGCTGTTAAGATCAAAACAAGAAACCCCCGTGTGCAAACAGGAGCCCTTTTAAGTGCCGTAGTGTCTGAGGCTTGTGCCTTAGGCTTCTCTTCATCGAGCTGCAGAGAGCGGAGCAGGAATATTGAGCCTCTGGTTCAAAGCAAGCAGCCCAAACAAAGTCCCACTCGCACCCTGGCGGAAGTCAGTTACCAGCTGCTGCTCGGTTTCCCCCAGGCATCCAGGGCCCAGTGCAGTTTGGGAAAGTGCAGTTTGTGCAGTTTATCCGAAAGGGGAAAAACAACGTCAATCCATAAGGTTTAGATGAGAATATATTCTCAAGTGACGTACCTGTAAAAACAAAGAGAAGAGAGAACTTCCCCTCCTGGGGTTGCCGTGCTTCCTGGTGGGGGGGAGGGGGTCCTGGCGGGAGCGTTCCGCTCCTCCCGACTGAGTGCTTGTCCCCCTTGTGTTCCAGGTCCTGCAGAGGCTGGGGAAGACTGTGGAGACGAAGGACGAGCAGTTTGAGCAGTGTTCCCAGAACCTGAGCAAGCAGCAGGTAACGTGTCCCCTCCCACATCAAGAGGGGGTGAAAGGGGATTTTATCTCTATGTGTGGTACCACAACCTGCTACTGCGGTACCTTCCAGCTGCCAACTGCTGGATGAGCCAGTGCCCTCAGGGTCAACATTACAGAATATGTGCTACCGTGGTTTGGAAGTATCGTCTTTGTTGTCGTCCCTGGGACTACAGTGGATCTTACAAAGTTACACAATTGCTAGCGCGTTATAACCGATTGTACTCAAGTGCCTTCAGTCAAGAATGATTAAGAGCCAGGAGCCAAAGGTAGCCAGGGGCTGCGGAGAAGTACCTGTGATAAACGGTTGCAGAAACAAACAGTCAGTGTCAGAACAGCAATCAGGCGTTCTGGGTGCTGTGCAGTGATGGCCATTGTCCTAAAACAAGCAGCCAGGACACTGTGTCTGTGGGACACACCACCAGGCACAAAGCAGAGCACACTCTATCATTGCAGTGCCTAGTCACACTGCCTTGGTCTGATTTGAAAGGCGAATGTGAGAGATGGATATTAACAGTACATTCCTAGGTGTTTTTTTTTTCAGCAGTGGTCATTGCAACATGGAAAGATTGTGTGATCATCCTTAAATCCTAAAAATGGCAGAATCAGGCTGTTCTGGCCAATGGGATAGTTAAAGAATTCACTAGTCTCTCGGAGCAAGGGCATCCAGCGGACACTAGTCTAAGGATCTGAGGTCCCCTGGTGAATTCTTGCAAGCTCTCGGGAGACGTGTGAATTTTTCAAACCGGTTGTTTCAGCCAGGGTGTGATATAGTAAAGTTTTTAAATCCATAGGTAATCCAAACAATGGATTGCATTCTTTTGTCTTAATCACGTTGATTTAATTTTGTGCCAAAAACAACTTGAACAAACATGTATGTACAGATGCATGCAATGAAGTGATGTCAAAATCAAACAGAAGACATTAATTGTTCTGCTTGCCTGCCTAGTTAGATGTATTTATAGTGAATTGCAGGGAGTTCAAATTAAAGTGGATTCATGTGGAAGACTGTGTTTAGTTTTACAGATAAGGCAAATATGTGAATGATCTGGCAGAAAAATGGTCAGGAGACACGGTATATTGCATATCTTAGACACCATATATTTGGAAATATGTTTGTTAAAGTATATTATGGGAATTCTATATTCAATTATTTTTCCAATTTAATCTTTACAATATACCTTTCAACTAAATATATTTTACATTATATTGAAAGATATGTCCACATATTTTTCTGGTATATTGCAATATATTTCTTTTTCGTAAGGGCCATGCGCCGGCGGAGGGCAGTGATATGAGGAGTGTGTACAGCCCCTGTGCCCGGCAGGGGGCCGGCTGGCTCGTATTGCCGGACCTATGGCCGGCCCGGTTTATTTCTGCTGACCTTGTCCACATGGCCCAGTCCGCCCTCACCCCGCCGCTGCGCTTCGCAAACGTGTCATTTCGAATGAGCTTGCAGGAAGCAGCTCCACCCCGGCCACCTTCCGCTGCCGCGAGGCGCCTCTCTTCTGGGGGTTTCGCGCCTCCCGCGAAGCGCCGACGCCTCTCCCTCTCCGGCTCGGCCAGTGCTCGCGTCTGAGCCGGCGCAAGCCCGGGTCTCACGTGTCTGTTTTTCACAGTGTGCGAAAACGGGAAGGACGCTGGTGTAGGTGCTTTCCCTCCGCCTTCAGCCCTCAGATTGTTTGCTTTCGCTTTGCTGCGGTTTAAACCCTTTTTTGTTTCTGCACCCGACTGTCCTAATGCCACGATCTGCCAACGTGAACGTGCTCGTTCTATAGGCATTGCCTGATGTGATGAAGGGACATGTCCTCTTCTTCAGCTACCCTTCTGATTGCCTATCCTGTCCGTCTTGACCCTTAAAGCAGAAGTGCAGGCAAATCTTCTGGTTCCTGAACTGGTCTGTCCACACATCGCTGTTCCTTTGTTCTGGGTGAGAGAGATGTGTTTCTTTCCAGAGGATATAATAGAAGGTACAGCTCTTGGAAACCATTCAGTGCCAAACAGCTTTTAGCAAAGCTAAATAAGAAGTGAAAAACTGGCAATTTAGGATCAGTCATCAACCGGCTAGGCCAGCTCCCCTTGATCAATAAGTGGATCAATACAAGGACAACAGATCA